ACAACTTCCTTCCTAATAAATTATTGGTGTTTTATATCCAAAGTCAAAAACTTTCCATGAAAAAACTAGTGCCATATTAAAAAAAAAATTGTTTTTAAACAAAAAAGGGAATACTAAAAAAAGTCATGTCGTGACAACTTGACAAATTTTATATCATTTTGTTCGTCTCAGTGAGACAAATCAAATGCACTAAAAAAATTTCAAAAAGTCCATACACTTTGAACTAATTAATTTAAATGAATTTAAAATACTTTATCTTTAAAAATCATTACTCAATCACTATTAGGCCAATTTCTTTCAAATAAAGACCATTTTAAAGGGATGGATTTGCCCTTAGAATGATACGAAATTTGAAATTGAATATTGGCAGTGTTCGAAGTAAATTTTATATATAATTTGTTGTAATAGGCAGGAAAATCACTGAATTATGCTCAAATTGGCTTTCTTCAAGCGATTTTGCTTTTATAAAAAAAATTATTTTCTAAAATTTTCTCAAAATAAGTCCAAAAATCTTTGGATTATATCGAAATTGGCTTGTTTGAAACGATTTAGCTCATTTTTAAACCAAAAAAAGCTTCTATCATTACAGCTACAAAATCCTCAAAAACCAGTATGCTTACTTATTTTCCAAAATTTTATTAAAACTAGCTAAAAAATTACCAAATTAGATCTAAATTGACGTTATTTGGTCTTTTTCGATCAACTATGCTCGTTTTTTCACCTAATTTTTTTTATTTTGGGAGATTTCATTTAAAAAACTGAAAAACACCTAAAATTGACCTGTTTTCTACGATTTTGTATCAAATTGGGCCAGAAACATGTTAAATTTACAAGGTTTTGACATAAATTACCCAATAAAATAAAATCAATGATTTTTTACAATAGATTTACATTGTTTTGGAGTCAATTTATTTTCTAAGATTTTGTCATCGAATTATGTTCAAATTGGCGTTATTTTCGCTATTTCAAGCGATTTTGGTATTACAAACTTTTTTATTTCTTAAAATTTTGTCAAAATAATTCGAAATACGTCGAAATTGAAGTAATTGTGGCCTGTTTTAAACAGTTTTAATTTAAAAACAAAAAAGCCTAGTTTACAGTTTCAAAATACCTATAAAACAGTAAAAAAATGTAAAAAAAGTAATTTTTTATTTTAATTATATTATCACAGGTTTTATTGATTTTCGTGTTTTTTAGAAAATTTACTCGTAGGGTTTTTCTTAGATTACTTCGATTTACTTCGAACTTCTTCAAACACTGTTCGAAGAAAAGTATGCCAATATTCAATTTCAAATTTATCATTCTAAAGGGCAAGGCCATCCCTTTAGAATGGTCTTTATTTGAAGGAAATCGGCCTAATAGTTATTGAGTAATGATTTTTTAAAGTTAAAGTATTTTAAATTAGAAAAAAATTATTTAGTTCAAAATGTGTGGACTTTTTGAAATTTTTTTTACTGCATTTGATTTGTCTCACTGAGACGAACAAAATGATATAAAATTTGTCAAGTTGTCGCGACATGACTTTTTTTTTGTCGCCTTGTGTTATGACAGGATTCTGATTAAGAAAACCAATTCCTTGCAAGTGTTAGAGTTTCCACGATATGCATTTCGTTTAACGACAAGCTAAAATTTCATTTCTCTCTTACCCATCTCGGAATTTTTCTATTTCCTGTTTTTATTTTCGTATATTTTGCCCAAGAGCTGGCGTTTACGTCCACGATATCAATAAAGTTGATAGCGGTTGGTTTGGATGTCACAAAAAATTTCCATATGCAAAATTAGATCAAATGGCAAAAGTGCACATAAATGCCAACAGTGTAAAAGAAAGGTGGCAATAACGACGCAACCCATGCATAAATGCCGAAGAAAATAATCACCACATTACGAAAAGAATGAATTCTTGAGATAAAAATAACGAGTCGTTGGCTGAGGCTTATCAGGATTAAAAATTATCCAGTTCGGTGATATATCGAAAGACATTATTTTTATGAACCACATTTCGGAGTTTATTCAGATAAATTCTACATATATCCTGATATGTTTCTTTAATAAATCCGCAAAGTTCCGAATGATTAACTTGAGGAGTGGTCGTAAATTTTGGTTCGTCTGAAACTTTGACTCACGATAAATGTTAAACTAACTCAAATGGAATACAAGTTACAAAGTAGAAGTCGTACATTTTAGTTAAAAAAAAAGACGACGAAAAAAAATCTTTCCAACTGGGGGAAAATACTAAACATGCGAAAAATTCAAATCAATTAAAAAAATACGAGGTTTTGGTTCTTTTACTATCAAAAAAAATTAGAATTACATTTTTTGTTTCAATTTGAGTAAAAAATACTGTAAGTTTATTAAATAAAGATAAATAGGATCGTTTGTGTGTCTAAAGTTTCAAAAATTTGTGCTCTTTTTTCTTACAGGCTGCTAACAGAATTAAAACTTATTAAGAGATAAGATTTTACTTGATGTTTTGATATTTTATGATAAAAAAGCTCTCTTATTTGCTCTTGTGATTATTCTCCTGTATTATGTTTCGTCACATTTTAAAAAGTGCATAAAAAAAGTAAAATGTGAAATAATGGTAAAATTAGTTTTTTCGAAGCCAACGAGGGAAAGAAATTTAAATTCAGAAATATAGTGTTTATTTTTTATCATTAAAACGATTTATAATTTTCAATTTTTATTGCCCAATGAAGAAAATCAAAAGAAATTGAATTTTTAAGAAATACAGTAAACAAGTTGTTTTTTTATAATTGGATGTTGTTCCTGAATTAAAAAAGTACCACACACACACAGTAACACAGAGTTTTTATCTCATTTTGAATATTTGTAACGGATTGCAAAATTCAATAGTTTTTATTTTTTTATGAAAAAACGCATTATTTAAATTGCATGAAAAAAATACAGTAACATATGTAATACACCAAAAATAAATAATCAAAAAATTCTTGCGTACAGTTTTGTTATAAAAAAATAAAATGGCCAAAAATAGAGGTTTTTTTAAATTCATTTTTTAACGGCACGGACAAAAAAATTTAAATTAATATATATTGATGCTAAAAAAGTTATAATATTTTTTTCAGAATTTTTAAATAACGATTTATTTTTTATTCAGTATATTTCAACCTTAAACTCATTATTTCTGCGTTCATTTGTAGGAATTGTCCAAATATTGTCAATTTGCTGTTAATTTTTATCGCCAACTGAGAACACATTTTTCAAGGCACAAAAGTTCGCGATTTTTCGGTACTAAACTGGGAAAAAAATTGAATTTTTCAAAGAAAGTTTAGGAAACAAATTTAATTTTATTATTTTTTGAAGTCACATTAAATCTGCGTTTTTTTCGAGCCCACTGAGGATACAAAATTAACATTAATTTTTCATGGTCGATTAGAAAAATTAATTTAAATTCTATATTTTTGCGTCTTTTTTTCAAAGCAAATTCGAATTGAATTAAAACAGTTTTTTATGGCCATTCGGTGAAGTTTTTGCATAATCTTGAATTTGATTGGTTGGACACATTTTTTAAGGGCCAATAATAATCATTTCGCATTCTCGTAATTACCACTAACGTGAGAACAAACCGGTTTTTATTTCTTATTGGCCAAAATCGGACAAAAACCTAGCAACAATAAGTAACTCCACCCATTTAAAAAATCGTAAATAATTATTGAATTCTGATTAACAAATCAGCATTTAGTGTGAATTATCTTACTTTAAATTGGTTCTAATTTTGCACAATGGGTGGAGCCAACCCCAGAGCCAATATGAATCATGCACTTTCAATTATTAGACCAATAAAAAATAAAAAAATTATTCAATGCGTTAAAGTTGAGTGTCATTGTTCGATCTTTACCCAATCAATTGCGTCTTTTAAAATCAACCAATCAGAACACGTCTTAGATTTTTCGACAAGAAAAATGAAAATAATTAAAATCTTTGTTTTAAAAGTCGGCTTCTTTGATTTTATTATCAATATAAGAAATAATTATTTAAAGAATAAACGTTAATTAATTTTCTTTACTGTCAAATGTCCAAACTGTCAAAATTTGACATTTTTGGAAGATTTACATAACATTTATTGTGTCTCTCAGTGTAAAATTAAACTACAAATTTATTTTAAATATCAGAAGAATTTAATTTAATGAACAAATAATTAATTATATTTTTTTTAGACAAATTAGAAATGCACTTAGTAAAAAGTAAAAATTCTCAAAATTATGAAACTTTAAATGCGTTTTTCTCATAAACTATAGGACGTAGAGAAAAAGCAAAAAAGCGCCAGAATTTGCTTTAAATTATCTATTTAATAGCGTAAACCCGACTATTTTTACAATTTTACTACCGCTCATTTTCAAACACTAATTCATAATTTTTCAAATGTAAAAAACGTTATAGGTATGATACAATTTAAAAATTGTCATTTTTTTGTCGGAATTTTAAATATAAATGGAACGATAATAATTTGTATTTGCCTTGTTTTGCTCATATCAGCTCCACTTTTCTTTTGATCTTTACTTATAGTAAATTCTGAGCAAAATTTTCTTTTATACTGGGTGTCCCAGAGCTCCGTATTTCTTCGATTACTTTGACAGTAAAGAAGATATCGAAATGCGGTTTTTTTTGGACGATAGACATTCATTTTTTCTATGGTCCAGTAATATTTTCGTCATTATAGGTAATTCCTATACAGGGTGGCGCAACAAAGTTATATTTTTTCTTATGGAACACCCGGTATATTATGCGCTTATGTGAAAGAGTTTTTAATTCTAAGAATATCCATATTAGGTTTTATGGGTCTATCATACACCGTTTATTATGGGGAATTTTATGAAATTTTTGAAAAATTACAACGGCTCTGAGACAGCCTGTATATTTCAGCGAGTGCTCGTTCCTTACATTGTACTTGTTCAAAAATAGCCATTATTTAAGAAAGCCAACGTCCAGATAAAACTCCAATTACTTCGATTCTGTTTTTAAAAATAGCTTTTCGATTTCAGTGGTGGTGGATCGTTGAGTTGTCTGGTGGTCGAGTCCGATGGAGGCTGCTACTCAGCAATGCCTCCAACAGCCATGAGGCTCGAGAGTCCTCCTTGCAACAACAATAATAACAACGCATCTGGAGCCGAACTTGAACTTCTCGCCAAACTGGAGGAAGCAAACCGTCTTTACGAATCCGACGCCAAGTCACTCAATTCGTTGAGTGGGGCGTCGGGTCATTCGAGGAAAAGTTCCGACACTTCACAGATATCTTTAACATCTGGTGAGTGTTAAAAACAGAAGGGTTTGGAACTGTGGTGGTTTTTAGGCACGAGTTCCACCACGCAAGATCGACCTGAAGATTGCGGCGAAGAGGATCTGTGGACCACATGGGGGAGGATTGTCAATGATTGGGAGAATAATTGGAAGAAGCAGAATGCACAAATTAGGGAGTTGGTCAGGAAGGGCATTCCGTTGCATTTCAGGGCGATTGTTTGGCAATTGCTGTGTTCTGCGGCAGAAGCCTCGGAAAAGAAACTCTACGCCGAATATATTAAGGTAAAATTCATTAAAAAAAACTTTTTTAACGAGATTCCATGTCTAAACAATTTTTTCACATTTCCATTGTAATAAGCAACAAATTAATAAATTGATTTCATTTATTGGTTAGAGTTCTTTAAAATAAACAGTTTTTTTGTATTCATGCTTCTTCCCACTTATTGTTTACGCATTTTATAAATTTATAGTTTATAAACACAAATGAAAAATAAAAAAAAAATGAATAAAAAATACAAGACCAATTTTTTTTACATATGAGAATTGTTGTAATAATTTTTTCCAAAGTCGTGTTACAGGTCAATAGGTTATTTCTGGATACTTTTTTAATTTTCCCAACTGTCTAAATTAATGTATTTTTTAGTCCATTTGGTGGAGTTTTGATTGAATTATTGTTTTTTGTCTCTGTTTAGTCTCCGCATTTTGCCATTTTTCTCGTTTACAACGTCCAAAATTGCCTAAAAAAACTGAAGAGAGACAAAGATAGACGTATTCACGTTTTGTTAAAGTGCGACAAAAACAGACTGATATTTCTTCTCAAAATTGATTTTGACTTTTTTGACCAATGAAACAAACTTCTTAGAACGTCCGAAATTGCATAAAAAACTGAAAAGAGACAAATTCCGAATGATATTATATTTATTTTTGACTCGAAATGACCTAAAACGACACAAATCAACCCGAAATGTGCCATAGAGACACATTACATTTAGTTTGAAATTTTTTTTATTAAATATGAAACTATTAAAGAAATTTTGTGGTAAGTTTTTTTGACTCGATATATTTTACACATTTTTGACAGCTACGGTATCTCATTTTTACACCGTTCGTTCGGGAAAATGACACGAAAATTTTAAGATCTCAAAAAAAAAAGATACGATTAATTTATTTTCATAATTAAACAAATGAAAATGTGGTAAATTTAAGTTTTTTCACTCTTATTAGTGATGATTTTCTGGGTTTTATTTCGGGCATTCGAGGCTTTTTTCACCAATTAAACTTATTAATTATGAATTATTGTTTTTTGTCTCTGTTTAGTTTCCGTTTTTTGCCGTTTTTCTTGTTTAGAACGTCCAAAATTGCATAAAAAATTGAGGAGAAACAAAGATAGACGCATTACTTTTTGTTAAGGTGCGACAAAAAAAGACTGATGTTTTTTCTCAAATTGATTGAAACCGAGGAGAGACAAAGATAGACGCATTCACGTTTTGTTAAAGTGCGACAAAAACAGACTGAGGTTTTTTCTTAAGTTTTATTTCGGGCATTTTTAGACTTTTTTGAGCAATGAAACTTGTCTAACTTTTTAAACAACACACAAATAAAAAATTAACGACCACTTATTTAACCAATACCATATTTTAACTGTCTAGAAAAGATATTTTTTTAATTAAAAAAATACAAGACCAATTTTGTTACATTTGAGAATTTTTCTAAGAATTTTTTTTTTTAAATTGTGTTGCTCAAGTCACGAGGTTTTTAAAGCCGGTATTTCTGGACACTTTTTTAATCTTCCCAACTGTCTTTTACTGTCTGAAATTTTGAAATGTCTAAATTAGCGTATTTTTTCTACGACCCTCACAGAAAGTAAGTTTTTCCACCCTAATTGTAGAAAGGAAAATGGTGAATTACCTCCCAGGGAAGTAAAAATTTTATCTCTTTTTATATTTCTCATAGCAACGGTTGCTGCTAATGGCGAAAGTGGGATATCAAGAGAAATTGGCAGTTTTGATGTTTTTCCTGCTAACTTGTAGGAAAAATTATATGTTTTACACGGGAAAAGATACACTTTCCTCCCTTGTAAAATAAATACCTTTTTTATATTTGATCATTTCTCTATAAGAATTTTTTAAAAGGTTTTAAGCAAGTTTTGAATATTTTTAAATCAGTATTTCTGACAGTTTTTTAATTTCTCCAACTTGTCTTCTGCAACACCATGTTTTAAAAAGTCTCAACTCTCGATTAAAATTTCTTAAATTTCAGCATTTCTTAGAAATTTTTTAAGTTGATATTTTCGGATAGGTACTATTTTTGTTTTTTCTAGCGCGATATTTTGAAATATTCCGACTGATGTAATATTTATTTTTGACCCGAAATGACCAAAAACGACACGAATCAACCCGAAATGTCCCCTAGAAACGCATTACATTTTTTTGTTGCCTCGATAATGATATTTTACATATTTTTGACAGCTGACAGTGGAAAAATAACACGAAAATTTTAAGCTTTCTGAGAACTCAAAAAAAGATACGAGTATTTTATTTTCAAAATTAAACAAATCAAAATGTGGTTAATGAAGTTTTTTTGAAATGTCAACTGTCAAATTGAAAAGTCCACGCACTCTTATTAGTGATAATTTTCCGGGTTTTATTTCGGGCATTCGAGGCTTTTTTCACCAATAAAACTTGTCTATTCGGTGGAGTTTTGATTGAATTATTGTTTTTTGTCTCTGTTCAGTGTCCGCATTTTGCCATTTTTTTTCGTTTAGAACGCCCAAAATTGCATAAAAAATTGAGGAAAGACAAAGATAGACGCATGCACCTTTTGTTAAGGTGCGACAAAAACAGACTGATGTTTTTTCTCAAATTGGTTGAAACCGAGGAGAGACAGAGATAGACGCATTCACGTTTTGTTAAAGTGCGACAAAAACAGACTGAGGTGTTTTCTTACGTTTTATTTTGGGCATTTGTAGACTTTTTTGACCCAAGAAACTTGTCTATTTTATGACTTTTTGATTGAATTTTTGTTTTCAACTCTACAAATGCATTGCCTTTAAAGAAACCAGTGAAAAAATAAAATTTAAGCACGAATATAAAAAATTAAGAAGGTAAAATCTGTTTAAATAATCATTTTTTCATGAATTATTCGTAAAAATCCCATTTTAGGTTTTATTTCGGGCATTTGTAGACTTTTTTGACCAAAGAAATTTGTCTATATTATGACTTTTTCATTGAATTTTTGTTTTCGGTTCCGCAAATGCATTGCCTTTAAAGAAACCAGTGAAAAAATAAAATTTAAACACGAATATAAAAAAAATTAAGGAGGTAAAATCTGTTGAAATGAAATAATCATTTTTCATGAATTATTCGTAAAAATCCCATTTTAGGTTTTATTTCGGGCATTTGTAGACTTTTTT